GTGTGTGTGTGTGTGAGAGAGAGAGAGAGAGAGAGAGAGAGAGAGAGAGAGAGAGAAAGAGAGAGAGGTAGAGTCAGAAAGCGTGTTTCACTTACTGAAGTGGAGCTGTAAATTTGCATATATATAAATATATATAATCTAAGATTACTTAATATTTACAAGACTCGGTCGATAAGTCTTTTCGTGTAACTCTGTCCGCTTATCAGACATAAAATAATCATTCTCATGTGTTTATCATTATATTTAATATTTAAGCCTTTTTATGGAAAACGTATTTGAATTGTTTTTATACAAAATTTAAATTACATTTTTAAAAGCTAAAAATTGTATAGTTTTGCTTTAGGTATTATACAAATATATAGATATTTTGTATTTTTTTTAAGTGTAGGCAAAAAACATAACACAAATAAAACTTAAGCAGAACTCTTAGAGGTATTTAATTATTTTTAAAGTAAATCAATTCAGAAAATTGAAGAAAATATTTCAAAAATTGTTTTTAATTATAATTATAATCGTAATCTAGAAGAGGAAGCATTTGATATGTTGTAAAAATGTGAAGTATTAATTTTAATATTATTATTTATTATTAATATTAATATTAATATTTATATTGATTTTTATGTGATATTCGAGCTGGTGACAATGTACAATTTAATTTAAATAATTAATAACAATTACCATTAGTTGAATAAGCATTTTGATTTAATATTCAGATTAATATATTGTTCATATTTGATTTTTAAATATATATATATATTGTTGTTGTTGTTGTTGCTGGCACACTATCCAAGTCTTATGCAAGAGATTTATTTTGTATTTAATATATAAATTTATGTTTTAAATTTAAGTTTAAATTTAAATTTAATGAATTGCATATATGCCGAGTATTTTTTATGGAATTTCATTGGGTTTTTTCGTGTGAGTTGTTCTTTGTGTTTAATTTAAACTTAATTAATATATTTATTTTGTAATTAATATACAAGCTTACACATTATTTAACAACATTGAATGTTTTAACATTTGCCAAAATATTTAATTAAAAAATTGCTAAACAAATTTCAGTGTTCAATCATATATATTATTTTAAATTATTTTTGTTATTATTATTTTTATTAAATATTTGCTTGCATTGCTTAGGCATTTGGCTCAAATATTTAATAAAATACAATTTCTTTAGATTTTTATTTATTTTTTAGTGATTAATGTTTAATTCTTTAGGGTTTTATGTACAATTTGTTGTTTAAATATTTTAATTATTATATATTATTAAATATTGCTTAGACATTCAAATAATATTTTTTATATATTTATTTTAAATTTAGAAATGCTTAAGCAAAAGTTATAAAATATTGCTCAATATTTTCATTTAATTTAAAATTGTTTAATAAAAGAATATTCAATACATTATTTTATAAAATTTACTTAAGCATTCCATATTTTTTTTTTTATTTTTAAATTTTTTTTTTTTTATATATTTACAGCTTGAAGCTTGGCTTAACATTTGCCTGCAAACTCTTCACGGCTTCTCGCTTCCTCGCAGCAGCTGCTGGCACTTGGTGGTGCGAGTGGTGCAGTGGCTCAGTTGTGGTTGCCCTTGCGCGCATTGAAGAACATTCGCGCCACCTTGCCCAAAGCGCCAACAAAGTCCCAGCGCTGCTGCTGGTGCTGGTGCTGCTGCAGCTCCTCCTGCTCCTGCTGCTGCTGCTGCTGTTGCTGCTGGCAGTCGTGCCTCGCCTAGGAGGGCGTGGAGTACCAGGCACTCGCCGGGCTGCCCTTGTGGTACAGGTGGAAGCTCGAGTGGGGCGCGAAGTACTGCGGCTGGTCCAGGTTGCTGTAGGTGACGCCGCCCTCCGTCGTGGTCGTGGCGTGCGGGTGCATGCCCGCCGTGTAGGCCTGCGGCTTCAGGGGCAACGTGGCGCCCGCCGAGCCGTCCACGGGCGTGGCGTATTGGCCACGCAAGGGGTCGGCGTAGTCGTAGCCGGCATTGGAGCCCACCAGGAGGCCGGGCGGCGCGGCCGCCGAGGGCAGCTTGGCCGAGTTGTTGGAGTCGCGCGGCGACACGGAGCTGGGCGGCGTCATGGCGTTGTGGTAGTCAATGGAGCTGTGGTAGCCGCCGTAGGTTGACACCAGGTTGGTGAAGGCGTCCGCCGAGTTGCCGCTCTTCTGGCCCACAGGATGCGGCACGGAGGCAGCTGCCGCCGCCGAGTGCAGCTGCAGATACTGGTTCTCGTAGGAGGACTCGCTGCCCGGTGGCGTGGGCAGCGGCCCGCCCTGCTGCTCGCCGTAGAACACGCCGGGCACGCCCACCCCAGTGGGCGTCTGCCTGGCTGTGGCGCGTATCACACTCTCGCGATTCGCGTAGAGCTGGCGCAGCAGCGCCGTGGCCGGCATCGGGGCGGGCTGCTGGTAGGGCGTGCCGATCCACTGGATCGTGCTGCTCTTCTCGTTGGCATCGGAGACATGGAGCTGCTGCTGCGCCTGCTGCTGCTGCTGCTGCTGCTTGATCAGCGCGTCCGTGCTGAAGTCTGTGCTGGGCTGGTTGTTGTTGTTGTTGTTGTTGCTGGGCGAGGGCAGGTGCTTGGACATGGCGTGCTCCAGGTCCTTGACAGCCGAGTCGGCCGAGGCAGCTGGCTGCACGTCCTCCACCATGGAGGGCAGGCGGCTGCGCGGCTCCCGCTGCTGCTCCAAGGCGGGCAGCTTGCTCAGCGGCTGCTGCTCTGCCTGCAGCTGACCCACCTGTCCCACCTGTTGCTGCTCCCCTTGCTGCTCCTCCGCCTGCTGCGCCGCTTTGCTCTTCCGCTTGCGCTTGCTGCTCGGCGCACTGCTCGTGGGCGTCGGTGTGGGCGTGGGCGTGGCAGACACCGTCACAGGCAGCACGCCGTCCACCTCGACGCCCAGCGGCGTGGGCGAGTCCTTGATCAGCGCGAGGCTGCTGTTCAGGTTGCTGCCATGCGCCGCATTCCGTCCCCTGCCCCGCTGCGTGTGGCCCTCTGCATCGGTCTTGGGCGAGCCGAGCCCCAGCTTCATGTCGCCGCTCAGGTGGGCGTTGCCCTCGCCCGAGGCATCGCCGCCAGGCGAGCCGCTGCTCTTGTCGTTGCCCAGCCCCTCCTCGTGCTTGATGCTGTCCACACTCGGCTCCAGCTGGCAGCAGTCCAAGATCAGATTCTCATTCTCACGATTGCTGTGGGGACAAAGGGCGAACGGGTTAGTCGGCTGTGATAGAACCTATTTATACCATTGATTAGGGACGTCAGGGACTCTCCCTAGTCATTCAATGCCTTATCCTATTCCCACTTATACTCAGGATTCACCTACCTTATAACGTAGTTGACGCAAATGATGTTCTGCTCGTCGGCGTTTTTGGTGCTGCAGACGACTGTGGCGCAGGTCTGGAGCCAGGTGTAGCCGCCGTTCTTGTTCATCAGTCTGTAGTAGCCAGTCAGGACCTGTCCCTTCTCGATCACTGAAAGGAAATTCACATTGCAATGAGCTGCGATCGATGGGCAGAGGCTCAGAGGAACTTACGATCTGTGTGGCTCTTGCGCAGGCGATTCGCATCCTCGGCGTGGCAGAGGCAGTAGAGACTCTTGTTGACCAGATCCTCGGGCGTGTAGTCCAGCAAATCAGATACTCTGCAGCAGAAGAGAGAGAGAGAGAGAGAGAGAGAGATGGCATATTAGCAGAGGCTATAGGCACAGGTAGACTCGCCTCACTCACCTGGGCTCGCAGTGCGCCACGCGCAGATCAAAGTTGACGCGCGTCACAAACATGTCGCACTCCAAGCGTATCTCGTGCACCGAGGGCGGCGGCAGCGCGATGGCCAGGGCGACCATGCCCAGCAGCGGAGGCTGCGCCTTGCGCGTGTGCGAGAAGGTGTACTGCGGACGCAGCTTGCAGAGCAGCAGCACCACCTGGAACAGCAGCAAAAAACAAGACAAGCCATCGAAGAGTTAGTGAAAATAGGTCAAAGACTAGCTGCTTAAGAGCTAAGATAGAGAGAGACAGATCGATAGAGAAAGCAGCAGTGAGAGGAGGAAGAATGCACACGTTTGCGCAGTGCAGCAGCGAGCTTTCAGAAGGCCATTGTGGCAAAAAGCTGAATGCTATTATATACAGTTGAGGACAGAATGGGATGATTGATGATGTTGTTGATTGCACTTAGTGACAAGAAGCTGAATGTTATGTATGCAGACCGAATTTGTCGCTTAATGTTTTGAATTGTACTTCGTGACAAGAAGCTGAATGCTACAAGTGATGACTGAATGTGTTTAATTGTTGTTGACTGTTGCGTATGCCATCACAGATAATAAGAGTAATAGAAATGTTCAAGTCATATTGAATACACATTACCATATGCTACATTACTGTCATATGTTATGTAACATAGTATGTATGTATGTGACTGTTGAAAGTTGAGTATACATAACAGATATTGGAATTTCATGAACTGGCTGTTGA